ATAAATTGAATAGAATCAAATGTGTGAATTCGTATCCAACATCTTCTGCTTTCGAAGAAATGTTTTCTCAAAAGAAAAAGAAAATCTTTCAACACTTTGTTCCTCATTGCTTTGGGTTTGAAGATCAAACAGGAGGCGGAGCTTTCAGGGTCTAGGATGGAGAAGCTTTTATCAGGGAAGCTGGTTTCTCTGCTGTTGGTCAGTTTTCCCAAACCAGCTTCTAATAAAGCTCAGAACAGTCAACACTAAAGTACGATATGCAGGATTGATGTCCCACATTAAACTCCCCACTTATGAACAACAATCATGGCTCCTCTGTTCCTCTCAGAATCCGTCGCTCGTTCGTCTCCTGCTCAAGTAGTGAAATCGGCAGAGATAGGTCAGTATCGTCCTGTCTGTCGGTGATGTCCAGTCTGTTAGTGACGTCCGGTCTGTCGGTATCGTCCGGTCTGCAGGTATCGACACGTCCGGTCTGTCGGGGACGTCCGGTCTGTCGGTATTGTCCGGTCTGTCGGTATCGACACATCCGGTCTGTCGGTATCGACACGTCCGGTCTGCCGGGGACGTCCGGTCTGTCGGTATCGACACGTCCGGTCTGTCAGTATCGTCCGGTCTGTCGGGGACGTCCAGTCTGTCGGTATGGTCCGGTCAGTCGGTGACGTCCGGTCTGTCGGTATCGACACTTCTGGTCTGTCGGTGACATCCGGTCTGTCGGTGACATCCGGTCTGTCGGTATCGTCCAGTCTGTCGGTATCGACACGTCCGGTCTGTCGGGGCCGTCCGGTCTGTCGGTGACGTCCGGTCTGTCAGTATCGTCCGGTCTGTCAGGAATGTCTGGTCTGTCGGTATCGTCCGGTCTGTCGGTATCGTCCGGTCTGTCGGTATCGACCGTTCTGTCGGTACCGACCGGTCTGTCGGTGATGTCCGGTCTGTCTGTATCGTCCGGTCTGTCAGTATGGTCCGGTCTGTCTTTATCGTCCGGTCTGTCTGTATCGTCCGGTCTGTCGGGGACGTCTGGTCTGTCTGTATCGTCCGGTCTGTCAGTATGGTCCGGTCTGTCTTTATCGTCCGGTCTGTCTGTATCGTCCGGTCTGTCGGTGATGTCCGGTCTGTCAGTATCGTCCGGTCTGTCTGTATCGTCCGGTCTGTCGGTATCGTCCGGTCTGTCGGTATCGTCCGGTCTGTCGGGGACGTCTGGTCTGTGCAGTTTTTCAAGCTTTACTCTGGTTTCATGGTCGGCTTATATTCATGTCAGGACTCATTTCTATTAACAAAGGTAAAAAAAAACTTTGAGACATTCAAAACTACTCATTTAATTTAAAAATATTATCATACAATAAGTCAGTGTTTCCATGGATGTGTTCAAACGGCCACATTTGGCATAATGTCCATCTCCTGAGGAACATTTCCTCTTATTACCAACCTGAAAACGGGAATTTAACAGGGTGATGAAGCTTTTATTGGTGTTAATGACCCGTCCAAACCTTCTTCTGAGCTGAATCTGTTCTACTGACAAACTGTCCCTCAGCACCTTTACTGGAGCCGCTCTTCCTGCTTGTCTGATTCAAGTAGCCATTATGGAAATCAGCTGCTGTCAGTCTTTTGTTCAGAACCACCGTCCTGAAAGCCACCCATCCATCCTGGAAAATAAAGGAGAGAAAAGCAACAGGTGAGACATTGACAGCTGATAAAGACAAAGGAGGACATTGAAGGAATAGAAGCAGCAGTGTGGTGTAGAACAGCCGAGCCCCACATTAGCATCAGCCAGACTCCGACTGGTGATCTGTGATATTTGTCCGGTGGGCGGGTCCTAATGTCAGCGTGTGAGGGCCGGCCCTCATAGCGGCCCCATCACTTCCTCTCCGGCTAAAGCTCCTACCTGTGACAATAAATAACCGAAGGAGCTCCAGAAGTAATCCAATGCTAACTACCTAAATGATGCATGCAGTATATATAGCCCTTCCTTCCTGCTCATCCTGGTGACGGTTGGCATATGGTGTCATTTTCTATTTCTTCAAACTGGCAACAAACTAAATTAGAATAAAACTAAAATGCTTTCTTTAAACCAAACTACGATGTTGCTCCTATATCTGGCAAATGCATGATGGTGTTTTGCATCTAAAGGCTAACGTTTCCCGTCTAACGTCCATTGTTGCCAGGTTGGGATGTTTCCCGATCTGGCAGTTTAGGATGGCCGTCTGTGGGTGAAAAATGGTTTTCTGCAGATTAATGGCTTTAGAGATCAATAGACTTTGGTTCGAATTGGGCAAGCTTTCGTATATACTGGCGATTTATCAACATGTTTTGGGCTGGAAAACGTGAGTCAGTGACATCTGGCGACCCTGCTGATGTGGTGAGCGTGGACGTTACACATCATCAGCAGTGACTGTGGCGTCCATGTTAATAACCATATAAAGGTCTGACATCAAAATGACATCTAAACCAGGATGGTTTCCATCCCAGAGTAAAACCCGTTAAACCCGCCCACCTTCAGCCACCAACAGATCAAAACTCAACCGTTTTTCTAACTAATGTTCGATTCTGCCTTTTCCTCTGACATCATGTTTCTTTTTCTAAGTTGTTCTCAGTCGTTTATAAATGGGAAACATTTTGAATTGAAAAATCTTCCTGGATGGGAAGCGAAACCAAGTCCACTGGATTGTTTATAATCATTTGACCTGGATGACAGAGAATCTTCACCAGCGTCACTCCGGTTTGACAGATTGTGAATATTTCTATCAAATTAACTACGAGCCAAAACGCGAGTGTATTTTATCTTATTATCTTATTTTAAGAGTAAAATAATCATTCCATTGGAAGACCATCTTATTTACCAGCTTAAATCAAGGCTAAATACACTGAATTTAAGACATTTTGACTTATTTCTAGCTGTTTTTTGCAGTGCAGATCTATGTTGTCTAGGTTCAGCTGGGTGTAAACTGCCCCCATCTGGCAGCACTGCATCCATCAACTTCCAACCCTTTCCCACATTTCTGCTGGATCTCTGCTAACTGGCGGCGATGATCAACATCCAAAGGTTTGGAAGTGACTGAAGCGAGGAGGAGATCCGATCCTGTGAAACGTGATGATCAGAGGACGGATGTGAGGTAGACCTACCTTACAGCGGACAGCCAGGCAGCTGGAGGCCTTATCATAGCAGACTGAGCCGGGCTGCTGGTTCCTCTGAGCTGCAGACACCAGAGAACAACATCTGGAGTGAGTCTTTATCTGTAGAAATGTTCTGTCAGCTCCTGTTCATCCTGTGACTCTGCAGGATGGAGCAGCTTTTATTGACGGAAAGCTTCGGCTGCTTAAACACCATCAGAAAGAATTCATATATTTTAACTTTCATGATTAGAGCGCTTTTTCTCTAATTAACAAGATGATCTGCCAACAGAATGAGGATTTTTACTATTAAAATCAGATAATCACATAAAATACACTTAAAATAAGACATTACAGTTTTCTTTCTTATTTTAAAAGTAAATTGTCTCATTCCATTGGCAAAGACAGAATGCACTAATTACTGCCTGATGAACGTTATTGTGAACTCGTTCATTCTGGTGTCTGTGAACGGCACGCTCTCTCAGTTCAACTCCGTTCAAAAGGTTGCCAAATTTCTATAGAGCCCTCCAGGCGAAACCCCGGCTAAATCACACCGTAAACAGGCCTTAATATGTAGC